CATCTCCTCTGGAGAGCAGAGCTGTTGTCTTCATGCTGACAATTGTTATTTCCACATGTGCAAAAAATTATCAGAGTTCCAATACTGATCCAAACCCACTTCTGAAATGCACAGAACAAATGAACTAACTTACATGAAGTATAGTTTAACTTGAAGGATGGCAGTATGGCGGAGGGAAGAAATCTTTTTTAAGTACTGTTTAAATTATTTGGCAGTTACTGTGAATTTTCAATGCTTCTTTTATTGTTGTTTTTAAGTTAACCATGTAATTAATGGCCTGTTATATTTCTAGGATTCTTTCTTAATGTTTTCATGTGTTGCAAGCTTATGGATCTTTGCATTTTCATCAAAGTTTGAAATTTACTACCTCAAGCAGAACTCTTGTACCAATTAGTCTAAATTTGGGGTGGGTTGTTTCGGTTTGGTTTTAATTTTTATTAATTCTCAATGAGGTCTATGTAACAAACAAAATGTAACTGGCCAAAAGTAGTAAAAGTCTAGTACTACCAAATTAAAAAAATAGGATTTGTGGGATATCACTGAAACATAAAGCCCGTGTTTTTGTTTCCCATGCTACCACGATGAAAAACCATGAAACAAACAAACAAAAAAAGGTTTATTTACTTTTTGTCAGGTTATGGTCTGTATCAATTGTAGGTGTTGCTTTTAATGTTACTTTCATGCTCGTAGGACATGGGTGGAGGGAGAAAGCAGAAGAACCTCTAATGAGTGTTTGGGATACCTTTTTTTTTTTTGTAGTCAACCTCAGTTTAGTTTTCCATAGTTTGCAGTGTTTTCATGTTGAAGACACTGAATGTCAATTTGTGCTCAGATTTTTAGTTCTGCTGATTGCATTTATCAAAGCCTGTGTATGTCACATAGGTATATGCATATGCAACAAACAATGAAAACATTTGCTTTTCATCTTTTACACTTGCCCTTGTTTTAAACAGAATCCAGACTCTACTTTTGTAAATGGATCTGTATAGCATGATCACTGTGACAGTGCCCTGTGTTTCCTTTCTCTGGGTGGAGATTGGGTAGATGCCTTTCTTCTTCAGGGCTTTGAATGTTCAGTGCAGTTAAAAACTTCCACTAAGGACCTCGTAATCTTCTCTCTCCCTTCTCTGAATGGTAACTTTTGCACTAGGGATTTGCTTATGTGATTTTGTCAGACATTCTTGGCTTTTCTTTTTTTTCAGTGGAAAGCTGAAAAATCTAATAGCAATTCAACATTTAGCACATATAGTGATTCCTCTCAAGTGCCAACTCAATCGGATTCAAAGTAAGTTGGGTTCACTGCTGATGTGATAACAAAATCTATTTACTAATCATCTTAGAGGGTTGTGTGATCTAATTCTAAATAAAATATGTCACAGTTTGTTTTATTGCAGTACAAAACCATTTAATTCGAACTTACATTCCTTAAACTTCAGATCAAAATTTGTTGTACTCATGCAATTTTATTTGAGTCCATATGGGTGAACTTATAATACTTTTAGAGTTTTCTGATATATTTATATTTTGCCACGAGTAGTTATTTCAGAATAATTTTTACTATGGTGTAAATGTATTAACCCACCTCATTCAGTAGCATTATTTCATACCATTTTAACACTCATTTTCCTATTGTGACACAATTTTGAACTCAGTATAATTCAGTTTCATTACTTTCCTGTGCTCCATATTCTGCTTTCTTCTCTCCTTTTTTTTTTTTT